TTACTGTGCCCTTCCAAATTGCATCATCCCGTCCCTTCATGGGCTGCCCACTTGGAATACAGATTTCTCACCCTGAGGTATAGTGTTTTAACCAACAGGAGAGAGGTTGGAGGAAACAAACCCTGGGAGAGTGGCTAGTTGGCCCAGCTGCAGAAATAGCTAGAAGAGGTTTTATAGAGTTTACATCTGATACAACTTTCCAAATACTTACGACTTACACACCTCTAGCTTCTACCTATCCATCTGAAACTCCTCTCGCTCATTCAAATACATGGGCATATTCTATTATCTCCAGCTTCCTGCACCTGTCTCTGGATCCATTTGATCTGCTCCACTTGGGACTGGTTGGCCTCAACACCTGGTGCATAGATGTCGGCCCCAAACCTCTTTTCACCATCATTTGGAGATTTTCTTCCCCCTGTTCAAGTTGAAACTGTTTCCTGAATTCTATATTTTCTTCTTTCCTGGTTTATACTTTTGTTTTGTAGGAGCCCTTCTAAGAAAGGGCGCATAGTCTGAGCAAGGTGCAGTGAAGTTCAAATGGGCCTTACTATTGAGCCTCAGCCTTAAAAAGGCCAAAGAGCCAAATGCCTATTTCAACATAATTGATGACATCTGTGAATTTCAGATAATCAATAATCATGTGACCTTGAGGGTTATTGTTACCATCATATCTAATTAATGTTATTGTCAGTAATGTGAATAAGCCATGCTATTCAAATTATTGTTAATATTAGAATATTTACCTTCCAATGTAAGTAATCATTTCAGATATATTTGGAAGTGAGAATCTCCTTGTATGCTTAATATGTTTTAAGTCTATCAATCAGTGAATATAAATGTATTTGTATTATTTAAAAATTCAAATGTCACAATAATTAATGAGAAATTTTATATATGGAAAAATATTTAAATCATTTAAATAGTGGCTGGGCCTGGTGGGTCACACCTGTAATCCTAGCTGGGAGGCTGAGGCAGGAGGATCACCTGACTGAGCTCAGGAGTTTGAGACCAGCCTGAGTAAGAGTGAGGCCCTGCTTCTATTAAAAACAGAAAAATTAGCCAGGTGTAGTGGTGGGTACCTGTAGTCTCAGCTCCTCAGGAGGCTGAGGCAGGAGGATTACTTGAACCCAGGAGCTTGAGATTGCTATGCCATGGCACTCCAGCCTGGGCAACAGAGTGAGATTCTGTCTCAAAAAACTAAACTAAACTAAACTAAACTGAACTAAACTAAATGATACAGAAAAGAAAAATAGAGATTAGGTTATATCATGATTCAAATCATTATAGAAATATTTGAAGTACTAGATTCATAACATTAACAAAATAAACTTTAAGAACTAAATTTAACTTATTTATTTGCCCTTAGGCCAAAAAATATTTCAAGAAAATTCGTCATGGTTTGTGAGGATATACTTTGTCCTCTCAACATTTCATGAGAAGAAAAGAACCTCCCAAACCATACACAACATCATCCATGATAAGTCATCTCCAACCTAGATATAATAAAGGTATAAGTAATACGTTAAAAAATTTAGGAGGGCAGTGCCTATGGCTCAAAGGAGTAGGGCACTGGCCCCATATGCCAGAGGTGGCAGATTCAAACCCAGCCTTGGCCAAAAATTGCAAGAAAAAAAAATTAGGAAAAAATGAGGTAAGCAAAACACATTTTCTTCTCACTGATCAAGTATTAAGGTAACAGACATCACAAGAGTGTTTTAAAATAGTTTCTTATAGTTTCAAGTTCTTGGAGGTTAAAAATGTAAGCAATCAATTTATTGGAAGAAGTGTAACAGACTGTGATCAATTTTCAGCAATAAAAGATGATTGTTGAGGGCAGTGCCTGTGGCTCAGTGAGTAGGGTGCCGGCCCCATATACTGAGGGTGGTGGGTTCAAACCTGGCCCCGGCCAAACTGCAAAAAAAAAAAATAGCCGGGCGTTGTGGTGGGCGCTTGTAGTCCCAGCTCCTCGGGAAGCTGAGGCAGGAAAATCGCCTAAGCCCAGGAGTTGGAGGTTACTGTGAGCTGTGACTCCACAGCATTCTACCAAGGGCAATAACATGAGACTCTGTCAAAAAAAAACCCCAAAAACAAAAACCCCAAACAAATTGTTAAAATTTGTTCAAGCTATGAATTCCAGGTGATTTTATTTTATTTTTTTTTTCCAGGTGATTTTAAAAACACATTCCTCATTGTATTCATATTTATACCTATTAAAAAAGTAAATATTATAGTACGCTTCCTCTCATATTAATAAACTTATATCAGCTTTCTTTCAATTAGTATTTCCATGGTGTTTCCAACTCCATCTTATTAATACTTTTACCCTTTCTCGTCCTTATATTTCAATTGAATTTCCCATAAACAGCATATAGCTGAGTTTTGCTTTATTTTTTAATCCAGGCTGACGACATTTGCTTTAATTGTGGGTTTTAGTTCACGTATGTTTTACATAAGTGCTGAGGTATTTGGATTCAAGTCTATTAGCTCACTACTTTGTCTCACTTTTTTCTCTCCTTTCTTATCTTCTATTCAATTAGTCATGCTTTTAAAAATTATTTCCCCCCAGTGCATTAACTTTTACTTTTCTTTGAATGATTGCCCTTATAATTTACAACACATGTCCTCAATGTACTAAAATCCACCATAAATTAGTACTTTTACTGCATCGGGATAGGGTAAGGACCTGTGAGACTTTCCCTCCCTTTACTCCCTGTGCTTTGGGTGCTGTCTTTGTTATCTGTTTTGCCACTTTGTATATTTTCATCCCTAAGAGAAACTATTAATATTATTACTGTTTGATACATCAGTGGTCACTGGGTTCACCTACATATGCATCCTGTCTGTTGTTCCCTGTTCCTCTCCATTCTCAGGCTTCCATTTGAGATAATTTTTTCTTCCTAAACAGATGTTTGTTTTATTGTTTGTCACAAATTCTCTCAGTTTCTCCCCTGAAAATCTCTTCATTTCACATTGATTTTTAAAGGCTCGTTCAGCTTTGGGGTTGGTTTGCACGCGTCATTTCACAGACGTCATGCCACCGCCTTCTCTCTTCCATTGTTTTTGTTCGAAACCACCTGTCAGTCTTATTGTTGCTCCTTGAAGACATTTTTTCCCCTTCGGCTGCCTCTAGCATTTTCTCTTCATCTTTGATGTTCAGTCTCTTATACTTATGTGTGAAATTATGATTTTCTATGAATTTATGATACTTGGGTTTCATAGAAGTTTTGAATCTATTGTTTAATTTTTTTTCACAGTTTTAGAAAACTTGTGAAGCGTGGTTCTGAAAATATTCTTCATGCCTTATTTTGTCTGCCCCGAGACTCTAATTATATCCTGTTGTATATTAGACCTCATCACTGTATCACATGTGTCTTACATTCTTTCTGTATTTTCCATCTCTTTTTTCTCTCTCTGTACTTCGGGGTGGTTATTTTCTATTAGTCTATCCTCCTGCTGGGGAATTCTCCTTTCTTCTGTGTATATCTACAGTGACAGCCATCTATGTAACCCTTAATTTTAGTTATCTTATTTTTTTCACTTCTGCAATTTCCACTGGAGTTGTTTTAATAGACTCCAATTCTCCAGTCAAACTCTTCTTTTTGTCATCTTTTCTTAGAAATAATAAACACAATCACTTTAAAAATTACTTCAGATAATGCTGACATCTAGATGATCTAAGAGACTGTAAGTTTTTTCTCTTAACTTTCAGTCATATGATTCTATTTTCTATCTTCCTTAGTACTGAATGCTGGATATTGTACATAAAACAATTTTAGAAAGGGTTAGAATCTCTGGTTGATACTATGTTCCCTCAAAGAGGATTTACTTTTTCTGGTAGAGTTAGAGAAGGAGCAGATTAAATTAACTGGTCTGGGATTGCACTTGTTTAAGATAGGTTTTAGTCTTTTTGAACACTATCTATTTTTGGCTTATCCTGACTCCTAGAGTACAGTTTTCAGGAGTCCTAATGAGAGATCTAGGGTGTTAGGGGCCTGAACTCAAAATTTTTGTTTCCTTAGCCTTATGAGACTCAGGAAAGCTCTGCTCAACTTTCCAGACTTTAAGCCTCCGTTGCTGCCCAGCCTCTTAGCCCTGTGCTCCTTCTAAATTTTGCAAGTGCCTCAAGAAAAAGGCACTATAGAATTCTGGGTTCATCTAAAAATTATATTCCTTTGATATTCTGGCCACACAAGTCCAGACACCCAACTCTGACTCTGTATCTAGCTGTCTAATGTCTTCAAAGAAAGTTATTTTTGTGTTTTGTTTTGCTGTTACAAGTTTTCTCGGTGGAGAGTAAGGTGACCAGATTTTAACACTGGTAAAGCAGGACACCATTGAGGGGGAAGGCTGACAACAATGCAAACTTTGATAAGCAGTTCTCAACAATTATTTGTTATTATTAAAGTTTAACATTATAAAATTAACAAAATTAATATAAAACGCATATCCTGGCAAAATAGCCACATGGCAGCTGAAAACCATATATTCCCTTCCTGTTCTCCCATGTTCCCTAGCTTGTCATGCATTCTTTCCAAAAATCGGGGCTTTTTAAAAATGCTGCAGGATGCAGGACAAATTGTTAAAAATCTGGACTGGCCCGCCAAAAGCAGGACATCTGGTCACCTTACTCTAGAGGGGGGGCTACTTGTTTGTTCCAGACAGTTTGGCTCCTTCTGAGCTAATTGTCCTTGCCTGGAAGCAAGGGAGGGAGCCAGTCTCCTTCTGATACCTTGCCCAGGAGGGGAGTAGGGAGTTTACATTAGTCTTTTCATTTCCAAATGAAGTTACATTAACCTCTTCATTCCTAAATGGAGTTACATTAACCTTTTCAGCAGCTGAAAACCGTATATTCCCTTCCTGTCATCCTACCCTTGTTGTTCATTCTTTCCAAAAATCAGGACTTTTTAAAAACACCATGGGATGCGGGACAAATTGTTTAAAATCAGGACTGTCCCGCCAAAAGCGGGAAGTCTGGTCACCTTATATATGACGTAAAGCTGCAAATAAAGACAGAGAGAGAGCAGTGCCAACTGCGAACAGGACAAGGACGTCAATTCCTCCTCCCCCTGCACCCCCACCCGGCCCTTCTACCCCTCCCACTTTTAATCAGGCAAACACAGAGCAGCCCAAGCTGAATAGAGATGAGCAGCAGGGTCGAGCTGCCCTTTTACAGAACATTTGCAAAGAGACCAAGCTGAAGAAGGTGACCAACATTAACGATGAGAGTGCGCCCATCCTCCAAAGCCCAAAGCAAGTGGCAGCGGTTATGGCTCTGGAGTAGCTGCCCTGAAGCCCAAGGGAGGGCTCTTCCAAGGAGGAGTGCCGAAGCTTCGACCTGTGGGAGCCAAGGACACTTCAGAGAACCTAGCTGGTAAGCCAGCCCTGCAGGTCCCCAGTTCTCCAGCTGCTGCCCCAAGGCCTCCAGTGTCTACAGCCAGTGGATGTCCTCAAGATGATACAGATAGCAGCCGGGCCTGGGTCCCAGAACTGCCCGGGATGCAGAGACCCTCTTTACCGGACCTCTCTCCGCCCAGTACCACCAGCAGTACCGGCATGATGCAGCTCCTCTGCCCTTCCTACCTGCTGCCCCTGGGCAGCATGCCAGTGCACCCCCTGCACCTCTGCCCCCCAGCATGCCAG